GACATATCTTTCAAAAATGTTAATGGGTCTCTAGGTTCGTAACGTAAAATTATTGTTTTTATTGCATGATCAACACAAACATAACGTTTACGTTTCATTGCTGACAATACATCATTGTGATAACACCTCTCCAATACTATGTGATCATGTATTGTGTGAACTCTTGCTCGACATGTTCTAACTCCGCGATGACCGCTGTTTGTCTTAAATAAGCATTAGTCACCTGATCACTAAGGTGTGACCGACGCATAACTATTGAATTTAGCTATTAGTTGTATTGTTCATGGAGGGCGGATGTCTTTCCCTTAAGGCATGTCTCTACCATCAAAGCGGGCTGCCACCTTGAAACGAAGGTGTTTCTCTATTGTTATTTCATCCTCTTTGATCTAGTTTCGTCCATCTGACATGGTTGGATTCTCTCATGTTTGGCAAGCCCGCCTACAAACAATTTCCTTAATCTTCTATAGTAATAATCCTAATTTTAAAATGCAATATACAATTTTAAAAGTGCAATATGATAAATGTATACGGCAAACATTTCTTACAATTTTCATATGAGCCTATAAACAATATTAAACATATTAAACAAAACCATACGACAGCTAATAAAAATTGTTCAGATCAACTAAAATCACCCAACACACTATTAAAATTTAGGTGTGAGATATTTTGTCTGAGATATTTTGTCTGAGATCAATTGTCCGTGGTATCATTTGTCCTGATATATTTTGTCCTGGTATCTTTTGTCCGTGAGATCATTTGTCCTTGAGATCATTTGTCCTGAGATCATTTGTCCTGAGATCATTTGTCCGTGAGATATTTTGTCTGAGATCATTTGTCCTGAGATCATTTGTCCTGTCACCATATATATATATATATTCTACGACTAAAGTCACGTGCACCCAAACAACATTTGTATTCTACCACTAAAGGCCTGTTGCGTAGAATGTGACAGACCAGGTCTCAACACGGATGTGATACACTTGTTTGGGCTGACGTCATCAAGGTTAACCTTCAGCACCCAACACGTTTGTATCGTCCGCGGTGTAAAAGTCGAGGGGATGCGATAGAATCTTCTGATATATTTGTGGGTCGTTAAAAATTTTGACAATTCTAAAACAAAAAAAAAAACGCTTGTAATCTGATAAAACTAAACCAAACAGCTGCATCGCAATCGAACACTATCTAGACTTAAAACTGAGGTTATAGAATGAATTTTATTCGCAACCAGGGCTGTAGATAGCAGGACTTTACCAGGCCTTTATTTTTATTGCTGGGAAGAAGCGGCTATAACATGTTTATAGACATGCATAGCTTTTACATTTTTCGTTCTAACATTTGCAACAGTACACTATATTACAAACACTCATTTGGATATATGCCAAAAGCAACGCATTAAAACTAACACATCGCCTGATCTGAATGGTTAAGGATAAAGACGTTAGAAATACTGCTTTAACTAGATTCATAATGCCCTTTTCAGTTACGTTATGTAATTTGATACTCCCAAAAGGTTCACCCGTCCCCTCTTCCTCTTTCTTTAATTAGTGCAGAAAAATTCTTTAAAAATCATTTCAGTCACGTAAGTTTAATCGGCGAATAAATTACATTTTAGTAATTCCAAAACCAGTTAATGACATGCCGTGAATATGTTGGCCTTTCTGTGGTAAAACTAACAGGCTATGCAATAGAAAGTTAAAAACATAATGATGGTAGGAAAAGCTTCATTAGAGTGTTTCAAAATTGAGTCACAAAATGTGCCACATACCCACACAAAACAAAAACAAACGGATTTTGTAAACTAAATAAAAGCTGGTAAAAAAGGGGATGTTGTGTTATGTCTTAGTAGTTTTTGTTCCGTCCCTTGTTCTATATTTATCTTGATGATGTCTCTTGTCTCTGAGTTCTGAGTTCTGAATAGCTGTGTCGTGTGTGTCGTGTCAGTTATCCAAGGAGTAAGCATTAAACAAAATGTGTGCTGAGATGTACGCTGTGATATGTGATGGATTCTGTGATGTGTGATGTGTGATGTGATGTGCGATGTGAGATGTGTTGTGTGATGTGAACTGTGATGTGTGCTGTGATGTGTGTTGTGATGTTTGCTGTGATGTATGTTGTGGTGTGGCTGTGATTTATGCTGTGATGTGTGCTGTGTGATGTGATGTGTGACGTGATGTATGGTGTGATCTGTGCTGTGATGTGTGCTGTGATGTGTGCTGTGATGTGTGCTGTGATGTGCGCTGTAATGTGTACTGTGATTTGTGTAAAATACAAAACTAAAGTCAATGTAAACAAATATTGTTCCTCTAAGTGATATCAATAAAAAATATAACATCACTGAACTAGAAGAAAGTCTTCCATGTTAAAAATAAACACACTATCTGCAAGGACTACTTTCACAATCCCATTGTTAACAATAATACATCCTGGTTTAGGCTTACTGTGTGAAATGTTTGAAACACACGGCTTTTTTTTTAATCACGCACGGCTGTTGTATGCAATCTACTAGACGATCTGTTGTAAACGTAACTCGTATTAAGACACGCTTCGCGGGTCAAAAGTATCGACTGTACACTCAAATACAAAGCAGCCCTCGCATAAAAGTTTTTTTTAAAGTAGCATTGCAAATTATATTCACTGAAAATATTGTACGGTTCTTAAAATAGGTGGGGAAGGTTGTTTACATGACAGTTGCGTGTGCAAAGTCGTGTATAAAAACGTTAACACCAGCCGTGTGTACAGCCCATTGCTTACGTCACAAGACAAGCGACCGTTGTTGTATAGAAACAGGTAAGTTTGGTTTTATTGAATGCTGTTCATTGCCATTTGTAATTAAATTTAGTTCAGCAGAATGAAATCATACAAGTAAATATAACGGCTTTAAAGCTGACTTTCAAATATTATCTATAATAAAATAAAACACATTTAAGCTTTAACTGTTAATAGATGGTGTAGGGCGATAAAGTCAAGATAGAAGTTACTTCTGCCGCATTCATTCATTTATATTGTGGCGTTAGTTTGGCTCTCAATTAAAGCATCTCTATTGAATTTAATGAACCCCCACCAGGTGTGTATGTGTATCTACAAAATCTTTCTAATTAGGACAATTAAAATATGTCACAGGTATTTTTTTTACGGGTGTTAAAATTTAATCGTGCATCAATATCACCGAAAATCGCAAACAGACTTTAAAATGTTTTTTTCACACTCACAAAAAGGAATATTTATTCAAATCAGTATGACTTCTGCTGTAGCTTTTCAGACACATGTTCAGAAATTCGAGACTCACCTTAAATTCAGCAAACGTTGTGTTCTTGTATTTCCCAACACCATACAGATCAAGGAAAAAGTATCTTAATTTTTTCCGGTTCCAAACTAGAATAGTATAATTTAGCTTTGTAAACCACGCAGTTAGGACGCTGACTGCCATTAAGTGCCATTAAACATGTAAATCAAAATTGTCCATACGTGTCATCTATAAATGACGTTACATTTTTAAATAATTTTTACACCCACCCCCCTTCTCTCCGTCATACATCGTCACTAAAAACCAGACCCTCACCCAAAAATGACGTTAAATGACGATTTATATTGAATTTTTCTTAAAAGATCCATTTTTTTTTTAAAATCTTGTACTTGGTCAACATAGAGTATATTTATCAGTTACTAATACAATGTATTGAAACAGTTTTCTAAAACGCAAACAAAACGTCAAAATTATACTTTTAATAATATTTTATAATGAAAAAGTGTGACATTACACTATCTGAATTCCCCCGCCCCCCCCCCCCCCCCCATCAAACACTGTCATAAAATTACGGCCGGAACCCTCTCCTCTTACGTCGGTCGGTCGGTCGGTCGGTCGGTCGGTCGGTCGGTCGGTCGGTCGGTCGGTCGGTCGGTCGGTCGGTCGGTCGGTCGGTCGGTCGGTCGGTCGGTCGGTCGGTCGGTCGGTCGGTCGGTCGGTCGGTCGGTCGGTCGGTCGGTCGGTCGGTCGGTCGGTCGGTCGGTCGGTCGGTCGGTCGGTCGGTCGGTCGGTCGGTCGGTCGGTCGGTCGGTCGGTCGGTCGGTCGGTCGGTCGGTCGGTCGGTCGGTCTATGATCTAACCCTACCTCACTAGCTTCTCTTTCAAAAATATCTATCACTACTTCCATGTCCATTGGACCCTCGTTACTTTTTAAGCCAATCAGCTGAAGACATGGGACATATGATTTTGTTTGTTCAACTAAGCGTTGGTTACCCATTTTAGTTTTTTTCTAAAGCTCTCTTAGCCTCTCGTTCAGCTAACTCTATCTTTAGTTTTGTTTCCTCTCTATGTTTTTCTTCTGCTTCTGCTAGTTTATTTTCAGCCCACTCTAATTTTATACTTCTGGCCCAATGCCAAGAAAAAACCAAGTGACAGTTTATCTTCCCCGCTCATTGTGTTTCCCTACTTCACAGTCACGGTGGGCGTGTCGGGTAGTTTCTAATGGTCGAAATCAAAGACGAACAATGTCAAGTAGTGGTCAGTAAAAGTTCAGGTACGCAACTACGCGGAAAGGTTAATTGCGGTCCCAGTAATGACAACTTAGAAAGTTAACTTAACCTCTTCGACTATAGAGAATTTCACGCGGGTATATCTAAACCCAATGGTAGAAGGAAACCAGAGTAAGTTGTTTGCCGAGAGCACCGCACGATTTTTGCGTTACTTTTCAAAATTTAGCATTGCTACATGCACTGCCAAGCTAGTAAACTACTAAATGTGATTGTTACTACTAGCTAGCAAACTCGAATCTACCGAATAACGCTAGCTTTCTAGGATAGACGTAAATGTGTATACTGTGTCTTCTGCTATCTAAAGTAATGAGCATTAACTAATTAATAGCCAATGTAAATAGCACTTTCTCAAACGTGTATACAATCACGCATGTCTTTCAATAAATAGAACAAAGCATTAAAGCGTAAAATAATTTTATTTAAATTTGCACAGATGCCATACGTCTAACTACTACGAAATATTTTATCGAAAATCTAAGAAATACTTTCGACCTCACAAAATGGGTAATAAAGCCTCAGGTGGAGCTTATGGCGTGCCAAAAGGTAAGCAAAGCCCCGTCAGACATAATTATTTAATTTATATAAATATAGGCCTATATATATATACATATATATATATATATATATATATATATATATATATATATATATATATATATATATATATATATATATATATATATATATATATATTCATTACCATGTGGACCCAAGTGAAACAAAGAGACGCAACTAAGCCTTTTTATCGTACTCTAATACACAAAATTGGATCCATGACATTCCGGCTACCTGTGCTGCATTGACAACTGAACAAAGTTTTAGATATATCATTATCGTATTTATATATTTTAATCGATTTTTTAATAAATATAACATTTAACGAATGAAACAATATAATTCTAAAATAGTGTTATAATACGTTTGCATTGTGCAGAAACATTGAGTTTAATTACTAATGTCTAGTTTATGTTTTCATGAAATTAGGTATACAACCATCAGCTAATAGACACATCTTTGTAAGCTACTGCCATAAAGACAAAATGTTGGTGAATAAAATATATAAAGGGTTGAAGGTAAACAAAGCTTGTTGTTATTCAATTATTTAACTTATTGTTATCTGTCTAAAAAAAGTAAATATTTAGAACTCACGGGTAAATACAGTTCCTAGAACGACTTGAGTTATCCTTCTTTCATTAATTAGCCGTTGATAGAACATCATAATTTTAGTGTTATCTTGGGGAAAAAGATGGCATTGTCAAGGTATTGAGAGAAAATCATATAGTTTTAAATTATATTATAATAACTTGGAAATGCAATAATCAAAGATTACTGATTTTTTTTTTCAAAAAAATTCTTATAGTTTGTTGCCCATCGCATACATACATATATATTGTAACGTTAACCTATCTATCAGCCAAATAGAAGGAGAACGTCCCCGGATTCTTTTTTCGGGGTCATATGCAAATGCCTTACGGCCTAAGTGGATGAACACTTAACACAACGACCACTAGGGCTCGAATTTAATGTCTAGGGAAGCTAGTGATACTATTGTAATTAACACTCATCCAATCTACATACGACCTTTTAATCAGCGAACACAGTTGTGGCAGAACACAAAGATGAACTAGATAAAATATTTAATGTATAAGATATCAAAAACCCAACTTACACAATGTAGGAAAAATCACTATCACAGATTTCTACACTGTCAAAAAATAGCCACAGGCCACACAACACTGCTGTAGCTTCAGGAATTACTTAGCGACAAGTAATATTAAACTAGAAGACTAAATCAACTTAAGAAAGCAAGGCACACACAGGTCTTAAGTACTCTCACGTTCAAATGGTCAGAGTCTATAGCCGGACAATATGGACGGCTGCCTGATCAAGGTAAAACTGCCTCGTAGACTGCCAGGTCAAGATAAACTGCCACGTGTTGCGAGTGTGCAGTGCAATTAAAGACTTCTGTGACAGGGGAGGTTATCCTCAACTCATGTCGCCATTGGTTGGGATAATCATCTGATCAGAATCATTCAATCAGATTTTAATGGAAAATTTCTATGTCTCAAACACCTTAATAAGTCAGTGGAAAAACCCCAGGTGTTACACCATCATTCCATATAAGGAATTATACAATGTCAAAATAAAAATGACTCGACCTAAGTAGGTCACATCCCCTCCCTTTTTGGAAGTGACAGATAGGTTCCACAAAAACATACATAAGGAACCAATCTGGCAATGAAATAACAAAAATGTTTTACAAATGTAGGCAATCAAAATCATAATACCAGATGAAAATATCCCTGAACATAAAAGGGAAGTAACTCCAACTTTTACAATTGGTGAAAGGGGAGTAACTCTTCAAAAAGTAATTATACATCAAAATCCCTCAAAGAAGGGTATTACAATATTTCCATGTGGATATTAAAAGTGGTAAACCCGCCAGGGTAAGACCTTTATTTCAATGACTAGCTACAATATCAATTGAGTCATATGAGACATATTATTATAAAAGATTACATATAATCAAAAACCACCTTTAATTAAGGTTCACCTGAAAATAAACAAAATATTCAACAGGATTGGAATTTTGAAAAAAATTCAAAACTCACACCACTCATTTTCATATGAGTGACACTCAAACAAAACCTGTTTATGGTCCTAATGAACCACAAAGCATGTCACATGATCAATGTGTACAACAAGATTTTACATCCTTGACAAACAATCAGCCACAACATTATCACTACCCTTAATGTGTGAAATTTCCAGATTAAAATTTTGGAAATATAAGCACCATCTCAATATTCTTTGATTTGTCTGCCCTAACTTAGAGGTAAATTTCAGGGGATCATGGTCAGAAAACACTCTGACTGGATTGGTTGAAGAAGAGACATAGACTTCAAAATGTTGTAATGATAAAACCAAAGCTAAAGCTTCTTTTTCAATAGTAGAATAATTCTTTTGGTTCTCATTTAACTTCCTGGAAAAAAAGGCAATGGGATGGTCAATTCCCATGTTGTCTTCTTGAAATAGGACTGAGCCAATGGCTAAGTTGCTAGCATCAATGGCAAGTTTAAAGGGCTTGCTAAAATTTGGTGCAGCCATAACAGGAGCATTTGATAAAAATGACTTAATGGTTAAAAAAGCTTCTTGACATTTATTGGACCATTCAAATTCAACACCCTTTTTCAATAATGCAGTAAGAGGTTCAGCAATAGCTGAAAAGTTTTGACAGAACCGCCTATAGTAACCAGCCATCCCAAGGAACTTTTTGATCTCTTTACAATTTTTGGGAGGTGGTAACCTTACAATAGCATCTACTTTAGCTTCAATGGGCCGAACTTGGTTCGTTCCCACTTGATAACCCAAATAGGTAATTGAAGCTTTACAGAAATCACTTTTATGTAAGTTTACAGTAAAATTCACTTCAGACAATTTTCTAAAAAGGTTAGTCAATTGAACAATATGTTCTTCAAAAGTATTAGAAAATACAACTATATCATCTATGTAGGCCTCACATTGGTCTATGTCAGCAATGACAGAGTTAATGACCCTCTGGAAAGTTTGACCAGCATTTCGCATACCAAAGGGCATACGTTTGTATCTATAAAAACCATTAGGGGTTACAAAAGCAGATTTTTCTTTTGCACGGTCAGATAAGGGGATTTGCCAGTATCCTGAAAGTAAATCAATTTTGGAAATTATCTTAGCCTGACCAACTTTATCAATAACGTCTTCTATCCGAGGTAATGGATAGGAATCAGCTTTGGTGAGCGCATTTACCTTCCTAAAGTCGGTCACAAACCTGAAAGACCCACCGTCTTTCGGGACTAGGAGACATGGGGAACTCCAGTTGCTGAAACTGGGCTCAATGATATCATTCTTGAGCATATAATCAATTTCATCTTTTATCAAAGCAGCTTTTTCCGGGTTAACTCTATAGGGGTGTTGTTTAATGGGTTTTGCGTCACCAACGTCTACATCATGAGGTGGTACTTTCGCTTCCTTGGGGACATCCCCAAAGATAGAGGGAAATGTCTCAAATAACTGAGACAACCTATGGCTTTCCTCTGTGGACAAATGCATAAGGTGGACATTCAAATTATCTAAAAAGGAAGAATTTACCAATTTTGGGGGTTTCAATTTATCATGTATCACATCATCAGAAACATTTGAACATACAGGTAAAGTAATTTTAGCTGTGGATTGAAAATTGTTACAATTATCATAATACTTTTTCAGTGAGTTGACATGATACACTGTCTGTTTCTTTCTTCTGTCGGGCGTATTGACAACATAGTTCAAATCACTTAATTTTGAATGCACAGTAAAGGGTCCACAATATCTCAAGGATAACGCATTGTTCAGATTCGGCACTAACACAAGAACTTTGTCGCCTGGATCGAATGTTCGTTTACAAGAACTCTTATCATACAGTCCTTTCATTCTCACTTGGGCCTTTCTTAAGTTCTTGTGAGCCATTTCGCACACGGCTTTCAGTCGAACGTGAAAATCGTCGAAGTTTTCCACTGGATGATCACTGGTACCTGTCCAACGTTCGTGTATCAGCTTCAGGGGGCCACGGACAGAATGTCCAAACACAAGTTGAAAAGGCGAGTAGCTTAAAGAGTCCTGGACACAGTCCCTCGCGGCGAAAATAATCCAAGGAACAGACTCATCCCATTGGGTGTTACTATTAGCGAATGTCCTTAGCATGGTTTTGAGGGTTTGGTGGAACCTCTCAAGTACGCCTTGAGACTGAGGGTGGTAGGCTGAGCTGGTGATGTGGGTAACGCCTAGCTTGGCTAGCGCTTCCTGAAAATGGTGACTGGTGAAGTTGCTGCCTTGATCTGTTTGCACGATTCTAGGTAATCCAAAGGTAGTGAAGAACCGGGTCATGGCTCTGACTACGGTCTTTTCCTTAATGTTCCGTAAGGGAATCGCCTCGGGAAAACGGGTACTTGAACACATAAAGGTAAGTAGGTACTCGTTGCCCGCCTTGGTTTTAGGCAAGGGACCTACACAGTCCATGACGATTTTAGAAAAAGGTTCTTCTAATACAGGAATCGGACTCAAAGGGGCCTTAGGAATTGTCTGGTTTGGCTTTCCGACCAACTGACAGTTCGTGCAACTTCTACAGTAACGCGACACATCTTTTCTCATTTTGGGCCAAAAGAACAGTTCTTTGATCTTCGCCGTTGTTTTAGTGACTCCTGGGTGTGCTGACATTGGATGGTCATGTGCCAGCTTAAGTATTTCATGCCGATAAGGTGGAGGGATCCACAGCTGGTTTTTACTCAACCATGGTTCGGCTGGTGAGGCATTCACTGGTATAGCGCGACGAAAGAAGAGGCCGTTCTCGGAGAAATATTCTCCATCGTCAGATGATAGAGATTTTTCGACCGTTGCTTTGAGTTCCGCGTCGACTTGTTGAGCTTTAATGATGTCTTCCTGAAATATCCTCAGGGGTAAGCCCAGACTTGTGTTTTCTGGAAGCATAGACTCCAGTTTGGGAGTCGAATTTCTTGACGATGATGGCGGGTGTGGTTCAGACGTTGTGTCAGCCAATTGTTTGGTCTGGCTTCTTGTCACCGCACATGCAGGATACAGTTCATTATCATTATCTGGAACTGTTGACAAAGGGTCTGAAACCGTACAGGGGTATACTTTGCTTCCCGCAAGGTCATTCCCTAAAAGTAGGTGTACTCCTGGGACTGGAATACTATCTATCACACCTAAAATGACCTCACCTTCGACGAGATGATGTTTCAGGGCAAACTTGTGTAGAGGGACGACAGTAGATTTTGTCCCCACTCCCTGAATAATGGAAATCCTTCCGGTGTTCGTCTCTGGTGTAATGTCCATTGAACTTTTCAAAAGGAGTGATTGTGACGCTCCTGTGTCTCTTAGGACGGTGATATTCTTCTGAGACAACGGGTCACCTGGTTTGCTAATGATGGCTTCGGCAATAAAAGATGAAAAGTCAACTTTTCTCGATCCCTCGAGATCGGTAGACTCGGAAGAAACTGGATGGTGGCGAGAACAGTCAAAATGTGACTGCACATAATGTGTGGAGACTTGACTACCTTCTTGCGGACACTTAGGGTTAGAGTCCTTTTGAATTCTAGAGTTCATAGTTGAACTGGCTGCTTGAGGGGATAGAGCATAGTGCGCGGAAGTACGCACCACCTCTCTGTTATTCTGAAGACGTTTGTAACAGTCCTTGACATGGTGACCAGGCCTTTTGCAGAACTGGCATACTGCTCGACGATTGAGAGTTGATCTTGGTTTCTCTTTGGACTGTGATGCCTTCAAATGTTGGCCAACAGGAGGATTGCTGCCAAAAAGGGGAAGCACGGGGTTGAGGCGGTTTCCTGACACTGGTGGTTTCTTATGCACCAACATATATGTGTCAGCCGACTCAGCAGCCTTCTGGATGTCAGTTATCTTGTTATCCAGAATGTGTAGTCGTATCTCTTCAGGCAGGGACGATAGGAATTCTTCCCTTAGGATAAGTGACCTGAGTTTCTCAAACTCAGAAACTTCCTCAGAGTGTAGCCACCTTGAGAATATTTTCTCCTTTTCAAAGAGAAATTCCACATATGATTGTGTGGGTAACTTGCGGAGTGTTCGGAATTTTGTCCGATAGGCCTCGGGCGTCAGTGCGTAGGCCTTTAAAATGGCAGTCTTGACCAAACTATAGTTATTTTGAACGTCGTGAGAGAGTGCCTGGTATGTTTTTGAAGCTTTCCCAGTAAGGACAGAGCTCAATAAAGCAGTAATGGAAGTTTCGGGCCATTCACATGTCTTCGCTAAACTCTCAAACGAGTTAAAGAAAACGACCAAATCTGTTTCATCAAATTTAGGAACTAGTTTCCCAAATTTGGCAATCACTTGCCCTACCGACAACTTTTTTGGATCTACCTGAGAAGTGACATCACTAACTTGACCAAACTCTAATTCCAACCTCCTCTTATCTAAAGCAATTTTAGCCTCTAACTCCTGTTTCTCTAGAGCACTTCTAGTTTCAAACTCCTTTTCTTTTAAAGCCTTCTCTAAAGCAATTCTAGCTTCTAATTCTATCTTCTCTAGAGGTTTCTCCTCGCGGAGTAACACCCCAGCCAACAAGCTTTCATCAAATACCCCTTCATTAATGAAATGAACAACAATTTTGTCTCTCAACACCTCTGACTTCTGCGTAACAGAATAATCCAATTTCAATTCCTTAACAACACTAATCAAAACTTTTCTACTCAACTTTTCTACACCTTCAAAAGTAGGATTAGCCAAAAAAGACTCCATAACACTAACTTTCAAATCACAACAAGCCTAGGTTCACTAACTTAACACGGTGAGTTGGGCCGTGTACTTGACCTCTAAATGTAGGACGTGACACGTCTGCTTATTTGACCTAGATACTCTAGCCTGAGCGCGCGTTGTAAGAACACTGCGCTACTGGATATAAAAACAACTAAATCCAACTAACCTTAGTATTCAACTGATATAACCAACAACTGGAACGACAGATTAAATCTCGGCGAGCTCCCACTTTGTAACGTTAACCTATCTATCAGCCAAATAGAAGGAGAACGTCCCCGGATTCTTTTTTCGGGGTCATATGCAAATGCCTTACGGCCTAAGTGGATGAACACTTAACACAACGACCACTAGGGCTCGAATTTAATGTCTAGGGAAGCTAGTGATACTATTGTAATTAACACTCATCCAATCTACATACGACCTTTTAATCAGCGAACACAGTTGTGGCAGAACACAAAGATGAACTAGATAAAATATTTAATGTATAAGATATCAAAAACCCAACTTACACAATGTAGGAAAAATCACTATCACAGATTTCTACACTGTCAAAAAATAGCCACAGGCCACACAACACTGCTGTAGCTTCAGGAATTACTTAGCGACAAGTAATATTAAACTAGAAGACTAAATCAACTTAAGAAAGCAAGGCACACACAGGTCTTAAGTACTCTCACGTTCAAATGGTCAGAGTCTATAGCCGGACAATATGGACGGCTGCCTGATCAAGGTAAAACTGCCTCGTAGACTGCCAGGTCAAGATAAACTGCCACGTGTTGCGAGTGTGCAGTGCAATTAAAGACTTCTGTGACAGGGGAGGTTATCCTCAACTCATGTCGCCATTGGTTGGGATAATCATCTGATCAGAATCATTCAATCAGATTTTAATGGAAAATTTCTATGTCTCAAACACCTTAATAAGTCAGTGGAAAAACCCCAGGTGTTACACCATCATTCCATATAAGGAATTATACAATGTCAAAATAAAAATGACTCGACCTAAGTAGGTCACAATATATATATATATATATATATATATATATATATATATATATATATATATATATATATATATACATATATATATATATATATATATATATATATATATATATATATATATATATATATATATATAATCGAAAATAATAAACAAAAGCCTCGCCTTGTTACCTTTATTACAATTCTAGGACTGATGTTTATTATATATTGCTTTGCTTATTTTAGATTGTCGCCTAAGTTTTAATAGTGTGCATAAGTCCTCTATCATAATGGAAAAGGGATACACAGCATTAAATAAAAAAAATGGCTATAATATTAAGTTTAGTTTACTTATTCGTATTGATATACATGAAAACACAAACATGCTTAGTTTACACATTCCTATGCGCGGGTTGTAGTGTTGTTAGCATTGTGGAGGTGTTGGTGCGGTATATTATTTCATTTATGTTATTCTATTCCCTTAAGTATTTTTAATATAACAGTTGTTTTTGTGTTTTTTCTTTTCTCTAAAAAGTAGATTTATTACTTTCACATCGAAGGGAAGTACGGCTATGCAGCTCGTACTAATTACATATATTTTGTCAAATAAGGATGACGGTTTCGATGTTTGGATTGATCAAGAAAACATGGGAGGTAACCTACTAGAAGGAATGGCTAAAGCTGTTGAAGACTCGTGGGTTGTCCTTATTTGTATGTCTGAACACTACCAGAGCAGCCCCTACTGTAAAATAGGTTGATATTCGTGTTTGTATTCATACAAATGATCTTGCACACATTTTCATACAAAACGCAAACACTTTTTACCCAACACTAAATATTTCTTACTATTTTATTATAATTTTATAGACAACCAACCACCATATGACATTAAATTATATATATATATAACATGTATATATATATATATATATATATATATATATATATATATATATATATATATGGGTGTGTGTTATGCAATGTGTGCAACATTCAACTATTATCACCATTTTATTCTCACGTAGTTAAAAGATATGTATATACATTTTGCACTCTATTACGTTTGCTATAAAGTAAATTATTTTAATATTCTTTAAAACTAGTGTCATTTATCCACCTTAAGTGTCACACCTTATACGTTACATCCTACCATATATCGAATACGTAAAATATTCGCATCAGCAGATATTCATTTGACATATACATTGATTGGCACATTTCGCTATCATATATTTGTAATCTTTAAACCGACGTTATTTACAACAGAAACTGAATACACAGTCATGCAGCATAAAGAATACATTATGCTTAAAATGCAGGAAAACTTTTCCCCTAATGGCTGGCTAGGTGTTACACAAGGGGCCAAAAAATTCTACAACTTTAGTAAATCTGGCAATTATGATAGCATGCTCAAGGTTTGTATCAGTTTTTTCCCACGTTTTCTTTAACTTGCTTTCGCGCCTGTTTGGTTTTCCAATCAAATCTTGCGATCGAAATTTCGGGCACTTCCCAGTTAGCTAGCGCGCTGCAATTTTCAGGGAAGCTTTGTTTCCGATGACAATACAATATTCAATTGTTATCATTACTAAATTGATCTATGGAAACATTTTATTGGTCATTTTAGACCCCTATATATTTGTACAAAAAATGGACATAACATAGTAATTGTAATTTGATGAAAATAAGGTTCGGTACTCTCCCTCTTTTGGCTTACTGAGCAGTGGTCACGCGGTGTTTGTGTACAAACAACCGGAACGTAACAACTGGTGGCCAGTATGGGGGAGACGATATGGTCGAGTGGTTGGGCACACGATTGCTAACCCACTCGACACGGGTTCAAATCTATGTGTTCTAGTCAGTAACGTATTCACAAAACAAAGCCATAACCCGCTTCTTGTAAAAACAACGCTTCGTGTCTAACTTCCAACTTTACTCCGTCTCAATTCTTTACCCACAACAGACCAGCCCTCGTCCTAACCGCTATCATCTAACCCCTGACAATCATTCACTCCTCCTTTTATACCGCATATCGACCTTGGGATAACAATACACAAACACACCGGGGTTACAACAGTACTTTCCCTCTTCTGGCTTACTGAAGGAGCAAGCACGCGACTGGCTGAGTAGTGGTCACGCGGTGTTTGTGTACAAAGGAAGTAGAATGGTGATGGTCGAATGGTTTGCACGCGAGGGCAAAATGGTGAAAGAAACGGCAACACAGAAGAAACGTCGATTGGAAAAGGCACGTGTTTTTTACAAGTTGTCTTCGTTTACCCAAAAAAAGGGAATGCGAAAAGATAAGATCGATAGCAAGATTTTAATGCAAACAAACAGACAAAGACTAAAGTAGAAAATAATTATCATTAAAAAAGTTTTAAAAAACCCACGTTTTCTGATTGAACTAAAAAGTAGAAAATAAATGCTATACATCACAATAATGCAAGCGATGAAAAACGTGGGGAGCCGTGATTTTCTTACAGTTTCTAATACTGTTGACTCTCTACATGCTCCCTAATAAAACTCAATAGTATTATCTAATCAATAGTAATATAACTTTTACATCTTATATTATCAATGACCGATAAAAAACTTACTTCGGCGCCCCACGTTTTTCATCGCTTATAGTAGAGGGATCGCTTGCATTATTGTGATGTATAGCATTTATTTTCTACTTTTTAGTCAATCAGAAAAACGTGGGTTTTTTAAACTTTTTTAATGATAATTAATTCTGATTGATAGTTACATAGTTAAATTCATCGGATGAACTTTGCAATGCTTTAGTTTTTATATTAAACGTAAGGCTCACTTGTTATTATTAGAGATATAACAGAAATGTGCTAATGTGTTAACTTTCGTCCTAAAAATAAAAAAAAATTGTAAAGGCAAATCTTGTGAGGCCCGTATGTACATTCGAACCGAGGCTGATCTTGATTGATTGTCCGGTATAAAAATCAAAACATGTGCACCGATTTGATTCACTTCGCCACACTTATGGACTATAACAAAAGAATAAGTTTAGGGATGAAGGAAAGAAAAAGTCAATGTAAGGTATGAAGGATAGTGATAATTATAGTGATATAGATTGGGATAATTAAGAGGATAGGGTTAGGGTTTTTGTTTATAAGTATGTTTGTGTTTGTGATTATGTGTTTGTGATTATGGTTGTGACTGTGGTTGAGTTTACTGTTATTTATATTTTCTATAGTGTCCATATTAACACACGGGCATTTAATTGAAAACTGTATGTTTCCCAAAACCCGTTCAGAGCCAGGTATTTTCTGCTAATGTATTAATTAACATATTTTTTTTAAAGGAATTAATCACAGAGTTGCAGGCAGTACGTCATCGGGTTTTGCTGGACCTAAAACAAGTGCCAAAAGGTAAAAAGTTTTTAATTCTTTGTCCAATACTTTACTTAGCTTAAACTAGCTGTACATGGTGAACTATTTTATTACGATTACATTCTTGCAACTTTTCTAGAATGTGTTGGAAAGTTAGCTATATTGAAAGTAAAGTGTAAGATAAATTATTTTCTAAAATTGAGGATCACAAGTACATTTCATATTCAAAAAGCAAACTACAAATTTATAATTAGACCTGTAAACCACTTTTTAAAAAAGCAGGGGACTTTATGAGGCCATAATGTATACAATTTAAATGTACATGTATACCTTTGTTTTAATTACTTTGTAGTAATATTGGGTAAATCTTGATGTGTTATTTTGTGTTATGTTATCTTCTATATTTTAAAATGAACTTTAATTGTTTACATCCTAGCGAAGCAGTAAATGTACATATAATGCGCCTTATTTTGGCTTGCCGCTCTCCCCTACCAAAATAAACTGCGTACTCCCCTATGATAAGAACCTCCTGTGTTATATTTTCCATGGTTCATCTGTTACTGATTGTCTACACTGACAAAATCCTCGCTTGAATCAAATAAGTCCGGTGTTTGTCTTGACTTCCTAAGATCGACTGACTTAACCACTGCGGTTCGATCTAACCCAACTGGATAACAATTCATGTAACTTTTTTTGTTAAACTAGCTCAAGAGAAGAAATCCCCTACAACAAGTACGACTCAGCCATCTCTGCCCACGGCATCTGAAACAAGAGAGCCAACGAATGCTGAAATGCCAACACCACCTATTACTGAACCACCGCCACGGGAAACTACACCGCCTGGTACTTGACATTAAAATGTTACAAGATGCCGTATAAAATTATAGATTCAAAATAAGGGCTCTGGTTATAAAATAAACTACACACATACACACACATATATAAAAAATATACATATATACATATATATATATATATATATATATATATATATATATATATATATATATATATATATATATATATATATATATATACTAGCGTACCCGTTCCCCGCGCGTTGCCGCGGGGATAGAAGAAAGTTTGACGAATGTATTAGGATTTCACCAAAGCGTTACCAATCATATGTTCTTAGACGCGTGACCGTCTTTTCTAAATGTGAGTTATGTAAATGTAAACAATGGATTATAAATATCGGGATACGGGTTTACCTACACTACCGCATGAAAACATTGAGTGTACATTAATCGCTCACCGAAATAATATGGTACAACACACTTCGGTGACCGCCCATGTGTCAGAGACGTAGAGGGGCGCTCTCAGGGCCTCCACCCCCCCTCCCCCGATTACACTACCGCATAGGCGCGGCGTACGACCCCTGGCTCCTTAAAACTAACAGGCGCCATTGTGCCAAATAGCATCCTGTTAATAATGATGCAGATTTCGTCATTCGCTAAAGTGACACAAATTAAAAGGAGTTTTTTTTTAACACGTAAAAAAAGTATTTGACGTGTTTTAAATATCAGTGTGACTGATGCAATATTCTTACATTACTAATGGTCTATTATATAATATTAGATGCTCGATCTCAATTTCTGACTGGATTGTCTAATAATAGATGCTTATTGCATCATTCGCAATGTGGCGAAATTCTACAGTAGGCTCCTCTTATTCAAAAAGTTACATCCTAGCGAAGCAGTAAATGTACATATAATGCGCCTTATTTTGGCTTGCCGCTCTCCCCTACCAAAATAAACTGCGTACTCCCCTATGATAAGAACCTCCTGTGTTATATTTTCCATGGTTCATCTGTTACTGATTGTCTACACTGACAAAATCCTCGCTTGAATCAAATAAGTCCGGTGTTTGTCTTGACTTCCTAAGATCGACTGACTTAACCACTGCGGTTCGATCTAACCCAACTGGATAACAATTCATGTAACTTTTTTTGTTAAACTAGCTCAAGAGAAGAAATCCCCTACAACAAGTACGACTCAGCCATCTCTGCCCACGGCATCTGAAACAAGAGAGCCAACGAATGCTGAAATGCCAACACCACCTATTACTGAACCACCGCCACGGGAAACTACACCGCCTGGTACTTGACATTAAAATGTTACAAGATGCCGTATAAAATTATAGATTCAAAATAAGGGCTCTGGTTATAAAATAAACTACACACATACACACACATATATAAAAAATATACATATATACATATATACATACATATATATATATATATATATATATATATATATATATATATATATATATATATATATATATATATATATATATATATATATATATATATATATACTAGCGTACCCGTTCCCCGCGCGTTGCCGCGGGGATAGAAGAAAGTTTGACGAATGTATTAGGATTTCACCAAAGCGTTACCAATCATATGTTCTTAGACGCGTGACCGTCTTTTCTAAAAGTGAGTTATTTAAATGTAAACAATGGATCATAAATATCGGGATACGGGTTTACCTACACTACCGCATGAAAACATTGAGTGTACATTAATCGCTCACCGAAATAATATGGTACAACACACTTCGGTGACCGCCCACGTGTCAGAGACGTAGAGGGGCGCTCTCAGGGCCCCCACCCCCCCCCCTCCCGATTACACTACCGCATAGGCGCGGCGTACGACCCCTGGCTCCTTAAAACTAACAGGCGCCATCGTGCCAAATAGCATCCTGTTAATAATGATGCAGATTTCGTCATTCGCTAAAGTGACACAAATGAACAGGATTTTTTTCTTTAACACGTAAAAGAAGTATTTGACGTGTTTTAAACATCAATGGGACTGATGCAATATGCTAGCGTTACTAATGGTCTATTATATAATATTAGATGCTCGATCTCAATTTCTGACTGGATTGTCTAATAATAGATGCTTATTGCATCATTCGCAAAGTGGCGAAGTTCTACAGTGGGCTCCTCTTATTCAAAAAGTTATTTTTTCATCTTTGGCAAGGTGACGAAACTGTACAGAAGGATTTTCTTTCGTTACAAAGTTATTTTTAGAAGCCTGTTGTAGTTTTACCGCTGAATATAGTAGTACCCCTTACTCGCTATGCAGGACGCTCGATTAACCGATGCCAAGTGCCAACATAGTCGCTCTAAAACTCTGGGCGCCCAACCGTGTATTCACGAAAGTTGTACCCTACATGGCGCCGCCCATAAGAATCTTTAGTTTTCTTTTTCGCAGAAATATTCTCGGGAGTATTCTCATCTACTCCCTAAAAGTTTCATGGCACTCGGATGAACCGCATCCGATTTTTATTTTTTATATACCGTGTATAGAGAAAATACGCCCCCCCCCCCCGAGGGTGCCGCCCTTGCAATATTAAACAATATGTTTTTTTTGCAGAACCCTACTATTGAGTGATCTAATCATCTCCCCAAAGTTTCATGGTACACGGATAAACGGTGTGAAACCGAAATAGACTTTCATTTTTATAAACCGTATATAGAGAAAAATCGCACCCTCCCGCGGCGCCGCCCTTGCGAAATTAAAAAAAGATTTTTACAGAACCTTTCCTAGAGTGTTATAATGAACTCCCCAAAGTTTCATGGCGATCGTGTGAACGGTGTCACCCCAATTCACTTTTATTATTTTTATATACCGCATAAAGAGAAAAAACAAATCGCGCCCTGCCGGAGCGCCACCCCTACAAATTTGAAAATGTTTTTAGCGCAGAAATCTCCCCAGTTATATTCTCTACATGTTCCCAAAGTTGCATGCCTATCGAATGAACGGTGTCACTGCAATTCACTTTTACTATTTTTATATACCGTATATAGAGAAAAATCACACCCTCCCGTAGCGCCGCCCTTGCGAAATTAAAAATTATTTTTTTTACATAACTCTTCCCTAGAGGGTTATAACGAACTCCCCAAAGTTTCATGCTATTGGATGAACAGTGTGAAATCAAAATAGACTTTTATTTTTATATACCGTATATAGAGAAAAAACAAATAGCGCTTATTGCGTCATTCGCAAAGTGACGAAACTCTACAGTAGGCTCCTCATATTCAAAAAGTTATTTTTTCATCTTTCGCAAGGTGACGAAACTGCACAGAAGGATTTCCTCGCGTTACAAAGTTATTTTTAGAAGCCTGTTGTAGTTTTACCGCTGAATATCGTAGTACCCCTTACTCGCTATGCAGGACGCTCAATTAATGGATGCCAAGTGCCAAATTAGTCGCTCTAAAACTCTGGGCGCCAAACCGTGTATTGCCGAATGTTGTACCCTATATGGCGCCGCCCGTATTCCCATCTACTCCCTAAAGTTTCATGGCACTCGGATGAACCGCATCCGAGTTTTATTTTTTATATAACGTGTATAGAGAAAAAAAATCGTCCCCCGGGGGGCACCGCCCTTGCAATATTAAACAATATTTTTTTTGCAGAGCCCTACCATTGAGTGATCTAATCATGGTACACGGATGAACGGTGTGAAATCGAAAATTTATAAACCGTATATAGAGAAAAATCGCACCCTCCCGTGGCGTCGCCCTTGCGAAATTAAAAATGATTTTTTACAGAACCCTTCCCTAGAGTTTTATAATGAACTCCCCAAAGTTTCATGCCTATCGGATAAACGGTGTCACTGCAATTCACTTTTTATTATTTTTATATACCGTAAATAGAGAAAAATCGGACCCTCCCGAGGCGCCGCCCTTGCGAAATTAAATTTTTTTTTACAGAACTTTTCCCTATAGTGTTATATTGAACTCCCCAAAGTCTCATGGCTATCGGATGAACGATGCCAAACCAAAATCGACTTTTAATTTTATATACTGTATATAGAAAAAAAAAAGCGCCGTGTCGGGGCGCCACCCCAAGCGAATTTGAAATATTTCTTTTTCTCAGAAACCTCTCCATGAATATTTTCAACAACTTCCTAAAGTTTCATGGCGATCGCGTGAACGGTGTCACGGCAATTCACTTTTATTATTTTTATATACCGTATATAGAGAAAAATCGCACCCTCTCGTGGCGCCGCCCTTGCGAAATTAAAAATGATTTTTGTACAGAACCCTTCCCTAGAGTGTTCTAATCAACTCCCCAAAGTTTCATGCCTATCGGATGAACAGTGTGAAATCAAAATAGACTTTTATTTTTATATATCGTATATTGAGAAAAAACAAATCGCGCCCTACCGGAGCGCCACCCCTGCAAATTTGAAAATGTATTTTAAGCAGAAACCTCCCCATGAATATTCCCAACATATTCCCAAAGTTTCATGCCCATCGGATAAACGGTGTCACTACAGTTCACTTTTATTATTTTTATATACCGTAAATAGAGAAAAATCGCACCCTCCCGTGGCGCCGCCCTTGCGAAATTAAAAATGATTTTTGTACAGAACCCTTCCCTAGAGTAGTATAATGAACTCCCCAAAGTCTCATGGCTATCGGATGAACGATGCCAAACCAACATCGACTTTTATTTTTATATACCGTATATAGAAAAAAACAAATCGCGCCCTGTCGGGGCGCCACCCCTGCGAATTTGAAATATTTTTTTTCGCAGAAACCTCCCCAGGAATATTCTCAACAACTTCCCAAAGTTTCACGGCGATGTGATGAGAGGTGTAGTAATGCATAAAGGACACACAGACACACAGACACACACACACACACACACAGACATACATTGCTTTATATATATATATATATATATATATATATATATATATATATATATATATATATATATATATATATATATATATATATATATATATATATATATATAACTTAAATCCCATGTCTTTCCTTAGTTAACAGAACAAACCGAAAAGAGAGAACACTTACAGAGGAAGAAATCTTTAGATTTTCAACAGTTGTTGGACATAACTGGGAACTATTTCTTCTTGTACTCAATTTCAGTTCAATACAAGTCGAGATTGAAAATCAAAAGTGTGGTTTTAATGTACAAAGAACAATAGCGAGTTGTTTAGGCATATGGTACCGTATGAATCGTAACAAAGCAACATATCAATATATGATGGAAGCCTTGGTCAAGGCGAGAGATCTACTTGGTGTTGACGTTGATGTAGAGCGAGCGGAAAGTTTTTTCAAGAGCTAAAATTTTAATCAAGAGGAAAATCTTCACATTTTATATAGATTATCCTTATTTGAATATAATAAGTCTACTTTTTTGTTTTTATTTTTTTTCCATTTAAATGTTTAGTTACTTTTTTGGACAATAGAGTAAATATTTTTGGATTAGTATATCAGTTTGGATTAGGTTCACCTGTTGTCCTAATTTATAAAATAATTCAGATTAATTTAATTGTGTAAGATTTCATAAGGCTTGTACAATTTTGCAGATGTTATAACTTTTGTACACTTCCGTGTTTAATAAAAAGCGTGACAGTTTATTGAAAATCAATCAGATATTGCATTTCTAAGCAATGAAAGACCAACCGGAGAAAGAAAGTTTGATCCGAAATTCACCTCACAATCCAACAGTCGCTACATATAGTGCTATCGCACACTGTAGTCGAACTTACGTATTTGACCGTAAGCTCTAGATTTTCATAAGTATTAACTTAAATGCTTAAACATATTTTAATATATTTGAGATTTTCAAAACGTTGTTTTTACTTTATACTAACCTGTGTTTTCATACAGTGTCTACATGTACATAATAGAGGCCAAAAATGCGGAACTTAATTTTTTTAAAATAGCAAAATTAGTTCGACTCTATTCAATATACAACACAAACAAATGTATGTGATTCATTTTATTAAACAAGTACTGGTAAATAAAATTTGCTAAATATTTCATTTTTAAATATGATTTGAAAACAATTATCTTCATTACAGTTTATATGTAACAATGTAATACTTAAAATTATAGATAAACTAAAAATATAGATGTTTGTTCTGTTAAATATTTCAACCAATGTCTGTGTGCATGTCTGAATGTCGCTATGATATTGTTGGTAAAAACTTTTGTTTCATTAAAAAATGGAATTAAGTTTGTATTCAAAGTTTGTATTGAATTACGAATAAAAATATGTCTTAAAGATTGTGTACCATATGTTAACCTCATAACTTAATATTACATTGTGTTCA